GGTTTTGGAAGGATTTTGGCCTCTTGGGGGGCCCAAGAGGCGACTCGAGGCACTCTAGAGGGGCAGCGCTAATATACGACCCTCCCTTCTTTGATCGATCTCCTCCAAGATGGCCCCAAGAGCGCCCCGAAGGCTCCCAAGAGCGCCCCAAGAGCGCCCCAAGAGCGCCCCAAGAGGGCCCCAAGAGGCCCCAAGAGGCCCCCAAGATGCCCCCAAGAGGCTCCCAAGAGACCCCCAAGAGGCCCCAAGATGCTCCCAAGATGGCCCAAGACGGCTCCAAGAGCGAAAAGGCGAGAAAGCAAAAAACATTGATTTTCCTTAGGTTTTGGACGGATTTTGGCCTCTAGGAAGGCCCAAGAGGCGATTCGAGGCACTCTAGAGGGGCAACGCTAATAAGCAACCCCCCCTTCTTGATAGATCTCCTCCAAGATGGCCCCAAGAGCGCCCCGAAGGCTCCCAAGAGCGCCCCAAGAGCGCCCCAAGAGGGCCCCAAGAGGCCCCAAGAGGCCCCCAAGAGGCCTCCAAGAGGCCTCCAAGAGACTCCCAAAAGGACACAAGAAGCTCCCCGAGATACGCAAGAGGCCCCCGGGACCGCCAAGAGGCCCCAAAGACGGCCTAAGAGGCCCCCAAGCTCGCCATTGTCCTCCTCCTCCTCCTCTTTTTCTCCCTCCTCCCTCCTCCCCCTCCCCGTCCTCCTCCTCCTCCTTCTCCTCCTCCTCCTCCTCCTTCTCGTCCTCCTCGTCCTCGCCCTCCTCCATCTCCTCCTCATCATCTTCCTCCTCCTCCTCCTCCTCTTCCTCCTCCCCCTCCTCCTCCTGCTCCTCCTCCTGCTCCTCGTCTTCCTCCTCCTACTCCGACGACGACGACTCCTCCTACATCCTCCCCCTCTTGGAACGTATGGCGGCTTAACCCGCTCTTTGTTCTTCTGCATGCTCCCCCGCTTCCCTCATCACCTCCACTCCTCTGGGGCTCATTTCTGGACGGGCTGGTGGGGATACGCGAAGCGTCTAGAATTTTTCATGAAATCCTACCTAGCGGGTTTCGCGCGCGCATGTCGAAAAATCGTTCGAACGCCCTCGCGCGCGTGCTATCGCAAGAACCACGCTTGCAACAAATGACAGGAACTGCACACGCGCGAGTCGTTGCGCGCTTGCCGAAATCAGACAACAAACTTAGGGTTCGTAAAGATTTGAAAAACAACCGTCCCGAAACCAATTTATATATAACCGAAAAACCAACATCAATTGTCAAAGAAAACGTGCGCCCGCGGTCTTGCAAACTCTCGAACCGCAGGTGTTCCAACGTGTTCATGGAATTCTGCCATGCGGGCCACTCGCGCCGCATGCCGAAATAATTCGTACGACCTTACGCGCGTGCTGGGGGCTCGATCCGTGTCCAAGAATACCACGCGGGCCACTCCCGCGCATCGGCCGCGCGCGCATGTCGAACTCCTTCCACAAACTTCATCACCGACGCGAGGACGCCGTCATCGTCGCCGGCGTGATCAGCATTGGCGCCGTCACTGGTCGCGTCGTCATCGTTGTCAACATCGTCACCAGCATCGCTACTATCATCATCGTGTCTTCCGTTGCCGACGTTGCCATGATACCGCGCCCGCCTAAGTCGCCGACTCGCAGTGAAGTGCCCGCTGGGATGCACCCAGCGGTCAGCCCCACCGCGGCCGCGTCGATCGCGCCAACGTAGCTGGCCATGTTGGCCGCTTCGCGCGGTTGGGTTGGCGTGGCCGCAGAGATGCACCAGCCAACGTCAAGCACTCATCGCAATCGCCACCGCATGCGTTTTGCAAACCCAATTGCGGGTGGGTGGGTGGGATGATTGCGCGAGCAGTGGAATCGACAACTTCAAGTTCGGCAGGGTGAACTGCCCCACATAGACTGCAGCACATAGATTGCATGTTTGTCCGCGCCTGCAGCGCGCTTTCCGGTCGCGAACACCATGGATCGCACTACAGATCTTACAAAAACATTGATTGCACCACCCTGTTTGCATACCCTATATTATATTTTCTAAAAAGAGAGTAGACTCTGACCCCCCCCCCCGGCGTTATCCCCCCGCTTTTCGGGCATGAAAACCATGTATGATTCTGAACACATGTCCATCCCAAATATGAATTTGCACTATCCCAGCGGGGCCGGTATCGCTACCCCGGAGGTTCCGTTGTAAAAAAAATACGCGGGGACATGTTTTCTTCTAACATTAAAACTTTGTCACGAATCCCTTGCAAAAAATGAAGACGAAGTGCACACGCGCGCGTCGTCGCGCGCGCCTGCCGCAATCCTTCAAAGCCCTTCGGTCTCGGAAGGATTTCGCAATCGAGTTACCAAAAAAAAAAAAAAAAAAAAAAACATACAAAAACACAGGGTTTCGCAACACTGATTTGCTAAAAAAGCTTACGCGCGAGCTCTTGCGAAACCTGAGGAAAACCATAGGTTTTTTCCAGATTTTCACAAAATGCTACCAAACGGGCTTCGCGCGCGCGCATGTCGAAATCTGTCGAACGCCCTTGCGCGTGTGCCGTCGCGAGAACCGTTTGCAAAAAATGAAACGAAGAGCAGGCGCGCGCGTCGTCGCGCGCGTATGCCGAAATCCTTCGAAACCCATCGGTTTCGGAAGGATTTCAAAATCGTGCGCCCAATAAACCTACAAAAACACAAGGTTTCGCAACACGGATTTTCAACAAAAGCGTGCGCGCGCGCTCTTGCGTCGTCGTCGTCGTCGCCGTCCTCCCTCCTCCAGCGTCGTCGTCGTCGCCTACGTCGTCCTCTGTCTTTCCTCGTGTTCGTCGTCGTCGTCCTCTTTGGCGTCGTAGTCGTTTCCGTCGTCGTTGTCGCCGTGGTCGTCCTTCCTCCTCCTCCCTCGTCGTCGTCGTCGTCCGTCGTCGGCGTCTCGTCGTCGACCCTCCTATTTCGTCGCCGTCGTCGTCGTCGTCGTTGTCGTCGTCGTCTTCCCTCCTCCCTCGTCGTTGTCGTCGTCGGCGTCGCCGTCCTTCCTCCTTCTTCGTCGTTCGCGTCGTCGCCGTCCTCCCTCCTCCCTCGTCGTTGTCGTCGTTGTCGTCGTTGTCGCCGTCGTCGTCCTCCCTCCTCCCTCGTCGTCGTCTTCGTTGGCGACGTCGTCGTCGTCGTCGTCGTCGTCGTCGGCGTCGGCGTCGTCGTCGTCTTCGTCGTCGTCGACGTCGGCGTCGTCGTCGTCGCCGCCGTCGTCGTCGTCGTCGTCGCCGGCGTCGTTCACGTCGTCGTCGTCGGTGTCGTCGTTGTCGTCGTCGTTGGCGTCGTCGTTGTCATCGTCGTCGTCGTCGGCGCCAGCGTCGTCGTCGTCGTCGGTGTCGTCGTCGTCGTTGTCGGCGTCGTCGAAGTCGTTGGAGACGCCGTAGGTGTCGTCGCAGTCGTTGTCGGCGGCGTCGTCGTCGTTGTCGCTGTCGTCATCGGCGTCGCTGTCGTTGGCAAGTGCCATTTGGTACCCACCGTCACGGTCTTAAGAGATTTTGCAAACAAGTTGCGGGTGGGTGGGTGGGATGCTTGCGCTAGCAGTGGAGTGGACAACTCACTGCGAACAGAAATTAACTGCACAGCACAGGTTGTGCCGCATAGATTGCACAGCGTATAGTGCACCCCATGTATTGCACAACATAGATTGCACACCAAAACTTGCACAGCATGTATTGTACCGCATCGATTGCACCGCAGATTTGTAATACCTATATTGCCCCACATCGGTTGCACCAAATCGGGTACACCACATAGATTGCACTACATAAACTGCACCACATGTACTGCACAATCTATATTGCACATCGTCGGCTGCACAAAATAGATAGCTAATCATATATTGCACAACGTAGATTGAGCCACCTAGATTGCTCCAAGTAGATTGCGTAACCTACATTGTTCCACATGAATGAAAGCCACACACATTGCTAGAGCCGCACTGCTTGGGGTCCGCGCTGGCTGACAATTGTATAAATATGCGTAGACGTGAAAAGTTGTATATACAAATAATCATCTGCACGTATGCATCTATAAAAACTTTATATATATATACATATACATATACGTATATGTGTGTACAGATACAGCGAACCATAGACATATGTTAGCCAGCGTGGGCCCCAAACAATGAAACATTGCACGGTGGATGTGCAAGCGATGTGGTGCAACCATGTGGTGCAAGCTATGTGGTGCAAGCTCTGCGTGGTGAAAGCTATATTGTGCAAGCTGTGTAGTGCAAGCTGTGTTGTGCAAGCCATGTGGTGCAAGATATGTGGTGCAAGCGATGTGCTAAAAGCTATATGCTGTACCTTATGTTGTGCAATGTACGTTGTGCAACCTGCGCGGCGAAAACTACGAGGTGAAAGCCATGTGGTGTAAATCGTGTGGTGCGGCGACGGACGGGGGTACGGGGCCGCCAGGCCCGCGGACGGGCCGCTCATCCGTAAAAGAAGGGGCAGCGACGGACGGGAACGGGGACGCCCGACCCGCAGAGGGGACCAGTTCCTTAGAAGCGAAGTCAGACGCCCACAAGTGCAAGCACGGTCTGGGGAATATACACACACAGACATCTCCTGCACAATCTGCCCGTGCGAGGAACTGGCGGGGCACCCACGGACAGCCAAGAGAGGAGGACACGACCACGACCACGACCACACGACCACGAGACGCCAACGACGTCGCCTGCGAGGATGGGCATGAGGATTGCGTCTAGGGCCCTGGGCCCTGAGGACTACAAGCCTCGTCAAAAATAAACTGAGGGATTATGTTTTCGGTGATTGTATGGTCAGCGCTACTCCAATGCTGACGCTAGATATCTGACGTGGACGCAAGGGCTTCGAAAATCCGACGACCCCTCCGCAGCATTGAAGAACGCAGTTTCTATCAAGTGCTCGAGAAGATCGATCGTCGTGATTTCCAACCGCGTTTCTGTTTATTTTTGACGAGGCTTGTAGGATGCAGCGGAGGCGGCGGAGCCCTGGAGCATGCTGCGGCCATGCAACAATGGCCCCAGCACTGCGGAAGCCACGTCGAGCCAAAAGGGCGTCCGGCCGCGCGCCTCCCGGAAGAGCGCGGCAACACCAGAATACAGAAGGGGCGTTGACCTAAGGAACCCTAAATAAGGAACGAGGCCCCTTTTTTCCATCATAAGTTAACCCTCGATTTCCTGTCGAAACCATGAGGAAAGCCTGAGGCAACCTGTGAAACACTTCAGGAACGCGGAACCCCTCCCCAACGAAAAGGGTTCCTTCTTCAGGGCACCGACTGTAGTGGGGGAGGCGGGTTGTCAACGACGCGCGCAGCAGCGCCAACAAGTCGGAAAAATCGCGGCAGTGCCGCGCCAAGAAAGGGAGATGAGCCTACCCGCGGCTTCGCGCGGAATGCATTTTTCATGCGTCAGCCCCGCCCTTTCACGGTCCCCCTGCAGCGTTGTTGGGCGCCTCCGTCTGCGACTCCCTTCTTCATTCTCGCCCTACGGTTCCTAATTCATGACTTTTGGTCTAAGCCGTGTCCTCTTGCTGCAACTCATCGTTTTCTTCACTAGAGACTCGTAACCGTCGTTTTCGTCATCATCGTCCGCCTCCCCGCACGATCGGAGAAGGCGGCCGTCTGATCCGTATGGCTGACGCCCTGCCCTGTGAACAGAACACGAGCACCGACGAGCACGGCGCAACCAGCGCGAAAGGAAGACACGAGGAACGTTAGCTGTGGCAACACGCTGCTCGGGGTCACCGGGTCGGCCGCATCCGCGGCCGAGGCGAATGTAGGCACTACGCGGCATCACGCGTCGTCTTCTGATGCACTCTCTGTACGAATGACCTGTCGCCAACGAGCGATCTTACAAAGCAGCATCAGAAGTGTGCCATCTCGACTCGACGGTAGGCGCAGGGTTTCGCACCACCACCCGTTGCCGATGCCAGGCTCCTTGGAGTGGCCACCGGCAGAGACCGCAAAGGTCGACGGGTCGCGGCGGTCGCCCCTAGGATCATCCAATCGGGGTTTTGACACCGGGGGCATGGGGGCACCTCCTTTCTCACCCGGCGCCGCTAGGGCTGCTACAGATCACATTCCCAACCCTGCCGCTCGAGGCGACAAATTCACACGCGGCACCGCATATGCGTTCATATGCCGAATAGCCAGCTGACTCCACGGGACCACTCCAGAGCCAGGGTGCTCCACCAGCCAGCTCGCGCTGGCTCTGGCGACTGCAGCTTCTACCACCCTGGGAGGCAGTCGCGCGCTCCAGGCTAGCGGGGGAGACGCCTGGAGCGCACAAGAGAGGGCACCCTATGCACCGTTGCAACAGACTTTTTGGCGTTGGCGGCGAGGCAGGGGTCGCCTGCGCTAGCGGAGAAGTCTGAACGGGGGTGCCTTTGGAGCGCATTGTGCCACCATGCAGGAGGGGGAGCAGGCGAAGGACGCGGCCGAAAGGGGGGGCGGAGGGAGCGAACCGCTCAGGGGGGCGGATCACGCCCCGAGCGCGTGGCGCGGCCAGCCCCGCCGGCGGGCCCGCGGCGGCTGCTGCACCAGGGGACCAGCGCCCCATTGAAACACACGTTAACACTGCATTCCATCGCGTGGCGAGGCACGCAGAGCGTGGCAGATCTGTCCAAGTGTAAAGATGGTGCGGGCTGTGCGGGCTGCCAGAGCACAAGGACAGCATCACATCCGCGTCGCCATCAACACACAGAGCGGCACAGACTCTGGGTTTCTTAATAAGCGTGGGGGGTACCCCCCCGACGGGGGTCAACCTCGCCTCGTCGTCCGCGCAGCGACGGGGGTCGGAGCGCCATCGGCGCGCGGTGGCTGCCCGCGACGCGGGTCGATGTGGGGCTGTCGGCGGGGGTGACGCCCCCCGACGCTTATCAAGAAACTCGGAGTAGCGCCCTGGGGTTACATTCAGCATGCGGTGTGGCACGGCCTATCATGGCACGGCATCTCGAATCCGCCGGCCCCCGCTTGCCAGGGGTGAATAAGCGTGTGAAATAATTCGCTGTCCCCCTCCCCCTTCCACCCCCCCCTGCGGCTCAAAATCGCATTTCAAGAGGGGAGACCGGGGGGGGCGGGACCGGGAACTCATCGACGGTGCCCGGGCCGACTTTTTCGGAGCCAAGAGGGCCCCAAGACGTGCCAAGAGGGCCCCAAGAGACCCCCAAAACAGTCCAAGAGGGCCCCGAGTCGCCGAACGATCGCTCCAAGACGACCAAGATGGCCCACAGACGGCCTAAGAGGCCTCCAGGACGCCCCAAGAGGCCTCCAAGAGGCTTCCCAAGAGGATCCAGACGCTCCCAGACGGCCCGAGAGGCCCCCAAGATCGCCCCAAGACGGCCCAAGAGGCCTCCACGAGGGCTCAATAACGGCCCAAGAGGGCCCAAGACGGCCCAAGAGGCGTCCAAGACGGCCCAAGAGGCCCAAATGACGGCCCCAAGGGGGGGCCCAGATGGGGGGCCCGAACGGAAATTTCGAGCCCTCGGTCCCGATGGGCCCCCTCCAAGAGGCCCCCAAGAGGCCCCCCAAAGGCCCCCCAAAGGCCCCCAAGAGGCCCCAAGAGGCTCCCAAAAGGCCCCCAAGAGGTCGCCAAGAGGCCCGCAAGAGGTCCCCAAAAGGCCCGCAAGAAGCTCCCAAGAGGCCCCAAGACTGCCCCCAAGAGGCCCCGGACAGCGCTCCAAAGAGACCCCAAGAAGCATCCCTGAGAACTCTGGCCCACAACCCACGCACGGTGGCGAGATGGGAAGACGGCGACTGGACACTAACTAATTTCGTCTTGGTAGCGTCCACGACGGCCCAAGGGGCCCCCAAGATCGTTCCAACAGGGCACAGAAGGCCCCCAAGGGGCCCTTAGACAGCCCAAGAGGGCCCCAAGTCGGCCGCAGGGGCCCCCAAGAAAGCCGAAGAGGGCCCTGAGAGGGCCCGAAGAGGAGCCCAAAAGGGAAGATGCGAAGTCGCATTGCGAGCCGTTCTCCCCATGATGGCCCACGAGACCCCCGAAGCCCCCGAGGCGTCCACAAGAGGCCACAAGAGGCCTCCGAGGCGTCCCCAAGAGGCCCCCACGAGGCCCCTGTGAAGGCCCAAGAGGCCCCCTCCAGCTGCCCCCAAGAGCCCTCGAAGAGGCCACCGAGAGGCTTCCCACGAGCCCCATCAGATGCATCCAAGAAGCTCCTGCCCCACTAGATAACTTCCAAGATCGTCGCCAGCAATCGCTCCTGCTGGGAAGTCGGTGACTGGCGTAAGCCACTTGGGTCACAAGGGACCGTGTCACAAGTGGCACTACGCTCTGCTACGCTATGCCATCAACACAATACTTTCAGATCATGCCCAGAACGTGAATAAGCCATCAACGATAATGTCACGTGTTGCACCGCGGGTCACACAAAGAGTGCTATACCATACCGTTGCATTCAATCAGATATGGAATTCATTGCAAGACTTGACATCTCATGCATAGCATGACATGGCTCAGTACAGAGACAGCGACACATGGTAAAATGTGCGTCGTCATAGAGAGAAACCTTGAAATGTACTAGCATGTTCACTCCATGTGGTATCATTTGTGTATACAGCGGGGCATCGATTGCATAGCATGGCATACCATTCGGGATCCGAGGATCGCGTTGATTGCCATACGACTACTGCTGTGCAATGCTATGGTATAACATGTTATGTGCTGATTCGCTACGCCATGCTACACCGCGCTCCGTTGTTACGTGATTTGTCAATGTCAGGCTACGCCATACCGTTGTGTACTGGACGGTGCTATGCTATGGCTCACTGTGCTACGATGTGCTAGCCGTGCTTTGCATCGCACTGCACATGACTGCGCCGCACTGCCCGTGCGCGCCTTCCAGAACGAGGAATGTCCTGACTGGGGCCACGGAGCGCGTCAAAAGGCTCTGTTCTTGCTAGCTGGCGCGCGCTGCCCTCGAGAGCCTCGGTCGGCGGCGCCCGTCGTGGCCCTATCGCCCCCGCTCACGCTTCCCGCGAGCGCCTCCCGGATAGACGCCTGCACCGCGCCCGGCTCGCGCTCGTCGGGCCCGGCCCGCGGCGCACTCCCGGCCTCCGCCGCCTCCGCCGCGAAGACGCGCGCGAGGCGCCCCAGCGCCACGGCGCGGTGCTGCCGCGCCTGCGGCGCCACCGACTTGTCCTGCAGCACCATGCGGGCAGCGCTGGCCGCCGTGCGGCCGACGTCGACGACCACCGCCCTCCACGCCAGCGACACCATGAGGGGCAGGGCCTCGTCCGCCGCCGCCTGTGCGCTCTGAGGCGGAGGCGCGCCGCTCCTCCTCTTGGCACAGGGGGGGCAGGGGCCCTGGTGGAGCCGCGCCTCCCGTGGGCCAGCTCCTCGCCCCCACCCCTCGCACGGCCCGAGGGCCCGGGAGGGGCCCCGAGGAGCCCGCAGGCTGCGAGGACGCCGCGAGCCTCCAGGACCCCTCCTCCCACCCCCAGGGACCCCTCGCCCCCCGTGGCCAGGCTCCTGCTCCGGGCCGCGGCCCTGAGGCCCCGGCGCGCGGCGCGCAGGCCCGACGCGACCTCCCGCGCCGTGCTGCAGCGCCTCCGCAGCGCGCGTGCTGCCCTCGCGGCGGCGGCGGCGACCCCGAGGGCGGCCGAGGCGTCGCGCGCGCCCGCCGCCCCGTACGCCTCCCCGAGGGTCGCCAGCAGCTCGGGGCCGCGGCGGCTGCCGCGCGCGAGCGCGGCGGCCTCGGACCGCAGGCGCGCTTCCCAGGCTCCTTCGGGGAGAGGGGAAGCACACACGTTCACACACGCACACGCACGCACGCACGCACGCACGCACGCACGCACGCACACACACACACACACTCTTTACCGTCGGCGGCTGGGCAGAGGTTACTGCTCTGGCGGTCGGGCATCAGGGGGGCGCGCTAGATGCAAATTGGGCCGCGGTGCACGTGAGGAGAGGAAGAGACCCCGGCGCGACGGGGAGAGAGGAAGCCGGGCCCGCTCAGGAAAGTCCCGGCTGCGGCGCAGGGAGCGCCGACTCACGCACATACACGCACACACATGTATGTGTATTCCTTATATATATATATATGTATATATATATATATGTACGATGTGTATAGATGTATGTATGTGTATATATATATAGAGAGAGAGAGAGAGAGAGAGAGAGAGAGAGAGAGGGCCGGGGACCCCAGAAAAAGGGGGGGCACCCCGCCCCCCACCTAACAGATTTGACCCACCCCGAACCTCTCGGGCAACCCTCCAGACGACCTGGGAGAACCCCACGAGAGCCCAGGCGTTCCGGCGCGCTCCCGCAACGACCCCAGAGAGCCCCAAGACGCTCCACGACAACCCCAAAGAAGCCGTCATACCCCCAAAGATCGCTCCAAAACGTCCCAAGAGGCGTCCAAGAGCACTCCGAAGAAGGCCCCAAGAGGCAACATTCATGGATTTTCTGTTGGTTGTTGGTGACGTGGGATTCTCCTCTTTTCGGTTCCCCGACGCTCCAAAACGGCGGTCTTCTGGGCGTCCGAAGCCGCCTGGAAGGCTCGAAAATCGCCCCACAACCATCTGAAAGGGCTTCCAGGCAGTGCAAGAGAGCCCCAAGACGGCACAACAGGGTTCCAAGATGGCCTAAGAGAGCCCCATGACGGCCCAAGATGGCCACAAGACACCCTCCGAAGCATTCCGAATCGTGACCCGGTCGTTCGGGGAGACCGCGGTTGGAGGCAGGGTGGCCCGAGGAAGCCACCAGAGGCCCCCCAGAAGACGCCCAGGAGGCCACCAGAAGGCCTCAAGAAAGCCTGAAAAACATTTGTGGGGCCCCCAGAGGCTCTCGAAGAAGGAGTCTCCGCAACAAGAAGCTGAGGAGAATGGGGAGAATACGCAGGGTGTGGCGAGAATGAGGAAAAAAAACATGGAGGAAGGATGACGAATAACATTACTATGACGGCGATGCAGGAAAAGGCAACAAGAAGTGATCGCTAAATTATCGGCTTGACCTTCCTGCCATTCCGCCTGCATACCAAACTTTCAGGACCAAGTAGCATGTCGCGCGAAGCGCCAATGCAGTCCTGTACATATATGCCCCAATCAATGCTTGCACTGAAGGGGTCCCAGCGGAAGTTGAAAGATTTGGCGAAAAGATTCCCGCCGATTCTGGTCGCACACTGGGTTCCCAGGTTCCCGGTTCCGGGTTCCCGGGTTCCCAGGTTCATGGTTCCGGATTCCGTGCCGATTTCGGTGGGCGGCGGGGTTCCCAGGTTTCTGGGTTCCTGGTCGATCTTCTTATCGCTCGGTCTCGCCATGGATCCCATTACCCATTTGTCTATCGATCTCATTATCGATCTTACAATCGATCTCACAATCGATCTCACAATCGATATCACTATCGATCTCACGATCGATCTCACGATCGGTCTCACTATCGATCTCATTGAATCAATTTTCACTATCGGTCTCACGATCGACCTTACAGCCGTCCTCTTTATC